AGTAGAGACGGGGTTTCACCATGTTGACCAGGATGGTCTCGATCTCTTGACCTCGTGATCCACCCGCCTCGGCCTCCCAAAGTGCTGGGATTACAGGCTTGAGCCACCGCGCCCGGCCAGTATGACTATCTTTTATGTTACCAAGCACAAGAGCTTGTCAGTTAAATTGGGCTGCTGAAAATACACATGTTCTTTGAAGAAGGCACTCGAGCTACTGAATCTTCTTTGAGTAATAATAATGCCTTGGCAAAACTTCATCACTTCCAAAACTATTATGCTAGAGACTCCAATATTTCTTAAGAAAATTAAATGGTCTCTTGACCCAATCTGATGGACAGGCAGTTAAGTGAGGTTCCAACTAAAAATAATAAATGATACAGACTATAACCACAGTAAAACAACTATGATAACTTGAAACTAATGGAAAACATACCTTGCAATAAACCAACAGTATCTGTGACTGTTTGTGGTATATTACTGATCCTGGAATAAGAGCCTGTGCCGTCAATTCTGGATCTGAAGGATGGAAAAAAGAAAAGATATGCGAAAGAGAAGAGTAATTATGCAACTTCCCAGTTCTTAAAAAAAAAATCTTAGGAGGCAGTATTAATACCAGAGAGAAGACATTTGATGCTGACTTTGTAAACCAAAACTTACAAAGAAGGCACAGGGCTCTCTGTACATCAGAAACCCAAAGGAAAGCGTCACATGCACATACAAAGCTATAATTCCTTTACCCAGTCTCCCAGTGATCACCTAAAATGCTGATCTACAAGTTTGTGTTAGCACTTTGGTGAAATAACCAGCCAACAGGGAGAAATACATGGAATGTTTAGGATTTAAGCTGGCCCTTTCATCCCTGCCCAAACAAGTCCTAATTCCTCGTTTCCTGGGGAACTCCAACTACTCTAAATTAAATAGCTTCCTCTGTGGCTCACATTCCTTCTGTCCACCATATTGGGAGGGCCCAACTGATGGGCCTCAGAATGGACCTATAGCATGAAGTATGAATGAATACACTCTGGCCTACATTTTCACTGAGTTGCCCAAATATTTTCATTATAATATTCACCAGGATGAAACTAATCATTGTGCATTCTCTGAAAACCTTAATGTAGGAAATTACAGAGCTTAAAAAGAGAAACACTGCTCTGCCTACTCCCAGGTTCTTATGATTTTTTTTTTTTTTAATGGAGTTTCACTCTTGTTGCCCAGGCTGGAGTGGAATGGTGCAATCTCGGCTCACTGCAACCTCCGCCTCCTGGGTTCAAGTGATTCTCCTGCCTCAGCCACCCAAGTAGCTGGGATTACAGGCACGTGCCACCAAGCCCAGCTAATTTTTTGTATTTAGTAGAGACAGGGTTTCACCATGTTGGTCAGACTGGTCTTGAACTCCTGACTTCAGGTGATCCACCCGCCTCAGTCTCCCAAGGTGCTGGAATTATAGGCATGAGCCATCGTGCCCAGCCAGTTCTTGCAATGAGTAAATGACAAGAGAATGAGTGTTGCAAATAAGACAGTAAGTGAATGTAAAGTATTATCTTTACTGAACGGAAACAAACCAAAATAATCCTTTTTAGTAATTGTGATGTATGATAAAACAGATGTATTTCTAGACAGACTACAGTGAAAACAGCTTCCATGTTAGCTATTCAAAAGTTAGTACCAGCAAGGATTGAACTGTTAACTTCTACCAAATCCAGAAGTTTAATGGTATTCGCCATCCAGAGCGTCTGCAATGGAATCTGCAAGTAAAATTAAAGAAGGTATAAGGAATACACTCAACTCCCAACTACTTTTCAACTACTATTTTTTATTAATCTGGACTGTCCCTGAAATTAGAAGAACTGGGACTCAGTCACTAAGTTTGATGGAACAGGCCATAAACACGACTCCACATCACTCTTTCCAGGATTTATAAGATCTAACATTATTTAAAATCAATGATTATATCTAATATATGAATATTCCCAATTAAAAATTTATGCTCCTTATAAAAAATACGAGCCTTACATCAATTATGTTAAAAACATTTTAGAAAGTAATAGCATTCTGTATTTATTTCCATCCCTAGAGGTAAATACTGTTAAGTTTCATGTGCATTTCCCTGTATTTTTTTCTACAATTATTATTATAAAAATCTAGCACACACTGATAGAGACAGGAGACAGCCAAATGTTGGCCATGTCATCATGCACAGGGGGCTTGCCTAAACATGCCCATGGTGAAAAATTCTGTTCCTTAACACATGTGCAGTAAAGGAAATAAATCAATGTAGAGTGGCTCAGACTAAGGGCCCACATGCACACTGGAAAAATGGGGATGGAGCCACCAGGAATTTGTGCCTTATGCAAGGGAAGGAGCCTGGCCTCTTCAGATGCTGTGCGGTGTTCTGGTAGTAAGTCTGTGGGGTGGGAGCCTGCTGGCAGGATCCCTTTTGCTGAGAGCTTTCTTTTAATAAATTCCACTCTTCTCACGTTTCAATGTGTCCATGTGCCTCATTTTTCCTGGTTGTGAGACAAGAACCCAGATCTCAGCTGAGCTAAGGAGCAAAAAGTCCTGCATCCATACTGTTTTACAAGGACTTTTGCTACTTGGCCACAAGCCATTGAGGCTTCATCAGACGTACTTACCTGTTTCACTCTACCTGCTACACAGTGGCCCATTTCATGAATATATAATTTGTGCAACAAATATCTTTATGATAGATATTTCAGTTATTTACAATTTCTTGGGATTTATAACATTATAAACTCGGGTAACAGGGTTGTAGATATATCTTTGAGTACTTCTACATTTCTGGATAATACTTTTGGGCTTTTCCGTTTTTAAAGTGGAATGCCTAGGTTAAACAGCATCAACATTTTATTGCTAAACTGCCTGGATAAGTGAGAAAAAAATATTATAATCTCTTGCTGTTTATTATTAGTGAAGCTGAGGAGCCATCCATGTATTTATGGGCACTTTTAATTTATGTCTCTGTAACCTGCCTATTTAAACCCTGTGTGTGTGTGTGTGCGTGCACGCATACGTGTGTGTTCTGAGATGGAGTCTCGCACTGTTGCGAGACTGTAGTGCAGTGGCACGATCTCAGCTCACTGCAATCTCCGCCTCCTGGGTTCAAGCAATTCTCCTGCCTCAGCCTCCCAAGTGGCTGGGACTACAGGCATGCACTACCACACCGAGCTAACTTTTTTGTATTTTTAGTAGAGATGGGGTTTCACCATGTTGGTCAGGACGGTCTTGATCTCCTGACATCGTGATCTACCCACCTCGGCCTCCCAAAGTGCTGGGATTACAGGCGTGAGCCACTGCGCCTGTTTTAAAAAACTGGGATGGCCAATCTCATTAATTTGCAAAAATATTTTATATATTTAGGAAATTAGCCTTTTAACTCTTATATGTGTTATGAAGATTTTCCTCAGTTTATTGACTTTTAATCTTGGGGACAGCATAAATTTTTTATTTTTATAGTTATATTTGTCAGTCTTTCTCATGACTTCAGTGGTTCATATCATACTTAAAGAGACCTACCCCACACTTTAAGATTAAATATTGTCAAATTGTTCAATTGTGCTATTTTCCAGTCCTTGTGATTTTATCTTTATATACTTTTTTTGAGACAGAGTCTTGCTCTGTCGCCAGCCTGGAGTGCAGTGGCGCGATCTAGGCTCACTGCAACCTCTGCCTCCTGGGTACAAGCGATTCCCCTGCCTCAGCCTCCAGAGCAGCTGGGACTACAGGCGCATGCCACCACGCCAGCTAATTTTTGTATTTTTAGTAGAGACAGGTTTTCACTATGCTGGCCAGGATGGTCTTCATCTCCTGACCTTGTGGTCTGCCAGCCTTGGCCTTCCAAAGTGCTGGGATTACAGGCGTGAGCCACAGTGCCCGGCCCTTTTTTTTTTTTTTTTTAAACGGAGTCTCACTCTTTCGCCAGGGTGGAGTGCAGCGGTGCGATCTTGACTCACTGCAACCTCCGCCTCCCGTGTTCAAGCGATTCTCCTGCCTCAGTCTCCCAAGTAGCTGGGCTACAGGCATGCACCACCACGCATATTTTTAGTAAAGATGGGGTTTCGCCATGTTGGCCAGAATGATCTTGATCTCTTGACCTCGTGATCCACCTGCCTCAGCCTCCCAAAGTGCTGGGATTACAAGCGTGAGCCATTGTGCCCAGCCTGACTTTGTTATGGTAAAAAACACATAAGAAAAGTCTACTCTATTAACAAATTGTAAGTATACAGTCTAGTATTGTTAACTACATATGCATTGTTATAATATAGCAGTTTCTATGATTTTAAAAGATAAAATTTGAAGGCTTCCCCCTCCAATGGTTGGCCAGTTACCCCAATGCTATTTACTAGATGATAATCCATCTTACTCCTCCCTCCAGTGTGAAATATCACCTTTATCATGTAACACACCTCCAACATACCTGAGATCCTAGAGCCTAATTTAAATATGTTAATAAATTTTAAATATGTTAATAAAAATTAACACACACCAGGAAATAAGTTCTCTCAAATTTCTGAATTGAATGCATTTTCAGAGTGTAGTTCAATCCTCTATTTCATAGATGAAGAGATGTGAGACTCAGAGAAATGCAACCATTTCCCAAGGTTGGACCCAGCTAGTTAGTGGCAAAGCCAGTTCTGTTTTCTGAGTCTCAGCACAGCGCTCTTTTTATGACATCCCTTAAAGAGGATATTTAACTTTCAGAAGAGTTAGGTTGTTGTAATAATTTGAACATTAAATCAAAAAAGTAAATGAAGTTCACAACCGTTACCTATGTTATATCCTCTTCTAGAACTTGCTGGCTCACTTTTATTTTTTTTTTTTGCCTGCTTCAATAAAAGTTCTGAAATGATTTTCATGTGTGCAATTTTTTTCTTTTAAAGAACTCAAAATATTTCTGAAACATGCTCACTGACTAAAAAAGATTTTAATTTACTGAGAGTAAAGCATGCTAGGTACACACTCAGAATATAGCCTCGATCTTGAGGAGGTAAAGCTCACCTTATCATCAGAGCATTGTAGAAAGGAAAGGGATGGTAAGAACATAATCATTTTGGTGTCTGCCATCGTTACTGCCAAAATCTTATGTTTGCATGGATTTACATTCACCTAGCTCATTTCCTTTGATCTTGACAGTTGTGTACGTGGTCATTAATCCCACTCTAGAGGTTTAAAAAAAGCAGAAGCTCAAAAATAAGGGCCTTCCTCTCGGGTAGTAAAGGGTAGTTCTAGGAACCAAACCTCACCTTCAGTCTTTTTATAGCACAAAGCTTCTCCCCATGGATAGAAAAGACAAACGGCAGAGGGTAAGAACCATCATGTAGTAAGTTATAGGTGCCAGCAGATTTCAAGCTGGGGCCTAAACTGCATCTCAGGACGTTGTCTACTTGATATCTCCATATGAATGTCTTCTAACTTATGTCAAACTTAACACGGCGAAAACTATTGATTTTTCTTCCCAAATTTAATCCTCCCCAGACATCCTCATCTCAACTACATGGTTCCGCTATTCACCCACTTTCTCAAGCCAAAAATCTATGAATGATCCTAACTTATCTTTCCCTAATTTCCCAGATTCCATCAGCAAACCCCACTGACTCTCCCTCCAAGCAGAATCTGGATGTCCACCTCTTTCTACCCACCATTATCATTGTTTCAAACTGCCATCGTCTGCCGTCTGGCTATCTGGCTACAGTTGCAGCTTTTTTTCCCTTTTTTGGACAGGGTCTTGCTCTGCCCCGATTTGGTTATTTATTGTTTTGCTGCAGAGTTGTTATAAGAGTTATTTACTCTGGATATTAAGCCCTTATCAGTTATATGATTTGCAACTATTTTCTCCCATTCTATAAGCTGTCTTTTTTTTTTTTTTTTT